TAGATTAAGATGGTTACGTCTATTGCGACAATAAGTTGCAACCCTAGTTGCGCTATAAAAAAGTCGCAATTCATATTGCAGCAAGCAACACTAATATACACGTTCATTCCCTAATTGAGCATGATTTTTAAACTTACAAAATATACAATATATATAAATTGAGTATACATTCTATATATTAAGAAATTAATTGATAAACTAATATAAACTCACTTTTAAAATATTTTGAAAATTTGATGATCTAGTTAACCTTTTAAGCTCCACTTTACATGATGGTATACGTGACTGTGTATATTCATATCTATGTTTATTATAATCACATTTAGAATTTACATAACGTATTCCATCTAACCAAGTTGCTAAAAGTTTATCCCTAATGATTTGAAAATTTTCTAATCTATTAAAAGGAATCCATTCAATTACATCTTCGTGTTTCGTAGTTTTAAGTTGAAGTTCTTTAATGCAAGTATCGATATCCTTATTTCCACTTGTCCATCCTTTTATTGTCTTCTGAGGGTCATATGTTTGACACCAACCTGATGATGTGTTATATCGTTTGCAATTTGCACATTTTCCATAATCTTCATCTCTTTTAAAACCAAGCTCATCGACCATAATTCTAAGATCATTTAGCGTTAATGTGTTATACAGTACAGGACAAGATATCTTTATTAGTAAATTTTAGATTGTTATTGTTATAACTTTTATATAGTAAGCTAAAAACTGAAATTCTTACAGTTTGATTTATTAAAAAATCCGAAAGAAAGATGTTTGTTATTTTTAATTCCAAATAAGTCAACAATTTAAAAAACATCTTGGCATTGGATATCTTGTACTGCATAACACCGTATACAAAATGTAGCACAAGTGGCTTTTGTTATAGAAGTGACCAGGCTGTGAAATTATCTTCACTACATCAAGAGTCTATCAGTAATTTTAGGTACGTAGTCATTAAAATAGTATTGTACGATTGTACAACGTACGAAAATTGAGCAAAATTTTGATAGTACGTACGGTTAACATAGGTTTGTGAAATATAATTTTATAAATTCATTATCCATTTGGCACAAGGGTGTGACGAACCATTGGGTGTGGCTAATAAGCATTATTAATATACTTATTTAGCTAATTCTTACTTGCCACACAGATGATTCGTCACATCCTCTAATCCTTTACCCTTTTTTAATGTTTAGGGTTAGTGCAAGTGCGAACATTGTTCTTTTTTCGTGTGAGGTTATAGGAAAGTAGCTTTGCTTCGAAAGAATTTTTTATTTTACAAACCGTACGTATTATCATGATTTCCACATGTCCGTCCCAATTTGCCGTAAATTTCACTATACCGAGAGGGTTTTTGTATAAACTGTTCACTATACTTATATCGATAGTTCACTATAACGTGAGTCACTTGTACTAATAATAACTAATAAGTAAATAACTAACTAATAACTAGGTCAAATTTTTTTATTTGTATATGAACCTCTTATTCAACTTAAAAATTTTACAGGGGAGATCATAACCAAAGATCTTAAAAAAAAAAGGTCAAAAAAAAGGGGACAAAATACAAAATATCATGAGACCTTTTGTTTTTTCTTATCCTTCGATCAACACCTGAGCGACTACATATTCTCCGTCGTGTGATACCGAAGCGTGAGTTTTTGAAATGATTATGTTATTTCCGATATTCTCAGGTGTGTTAATAGTTATGTAAGGTTTTCCTATTTGGTAAATAATATATTTCTTTATCACATACATACTATATTAACATCTCTGACATTATTTAGAAATTAAAATTTTGTGAATAAATTATCTATCCGATTATTATAAAAAAATGAATGATATTAAGATAGACGATTATTCTTGAAATTTTACTTTCTGAAATAGCACACCGAGACGGTATTTTAAATAATACAGTAAACAAAGCAAATGTAGAATTAAAAAAGATCAATAAAATACAGTCAACCTTCCGTAAGTGCACCCCCCTTGGAACTATAGGCAAAATTTTTGAGAATGTGCATTTAGAGGGGGTGTGCATTTATGGAGGACATTTTATTAAGTGCTCTATGTGTTTGGGACTTAAGATTAGTGTGCATTTAGAGAGGGTATACATAGTTCGTGCATTTATAGAGGGTGCATTTATATAGGGTGCATTTATAGATGGTGCATTTATGGAGGGTTGACTGTACAAGGAAAGTATATAAACCTTTTGTTTTTTTGATAGAAACATCTTTCCACGTTACACTATAGTGAGGATATAATGCTTTATATGTCGCTTCTTTTAAGGACCACCTGTTTGGAAAATAAATAAAAAATTTAAAAAATAGATCCTTTAATTAGTATCAAAAAATTATAATAACCTGACAGCCAAATATGATACGATGTTATGTTCTATTGTCGGATGATTATCGCGGGTGTTTAGAATTGATGAAAATGTATAATGAAATTCTTTTGTTTCTTCAGAAGTTAGTATTCGGGATGTAAATCTTTTAAGAGAAAATGGGGTGCGGAAAAGGAGGGCTTTGAGACGTGGAAGGTGAATGATGTCGATGCCTATTCCTAATATCATTATAGAACCAAATGTGAATTTTGCCACTATCGATATAGATTACTCCCTAACCCCAAACCCTAATATTAATTTAAAAATCGGAAAAATTCGGAAAATCGGGTAATTTCGTAATGTGCCAGTCTCCCATTTTGGTAAAATCCCTGACAGAAATAAATATGAAACTATGTCTACTGACGCGTACTTCGAAGATTTAACTTACTGCTCGTTACTTGGCTTCCTGGAACACAAGCGTCCAACAAAAAAAGACAAAGCCTACAGTTTGTATAAAGGAACACTTAGTTTCATTTCTAAAGACGATACCATCAAGCCGAAAAGAAGAACTCGCGCGCAAGATTGTCTAAAACATTTTAAGGTGAAGTTTCATACATTCTTTGTTAATGGTATAACATCTGTTATCCCAATCTTTCCACTTGACCTTTGTGTCGTACATCAATGGAGAATATTTGTTAGCTTACCATCGTCCTATCCCATCCTCTTGCGATCTCTGTGTCGTCGAGGGAGCTATTTTGTTCGACCTCTGTGTCAATGGGGGATGGCCTCAGTGCTGGTGTGGATTTCATGCTACCTCCTAACCTCTGTGTTGTGGAGTTATGACCTCTGTGTTGCGTGTGTCCCTTTGGTGCAACATATTCTCCAAAATGATTTACTCATCAAACTCTTTATAAATTAGGAACAAGCTGATTCAGTGGCAGTGAAACAATATTGGACGGATCTGGAGAAGAAACAACTGGAGGATTTGATTCTCTTGAAGAGGTTAGAATTTTAATTCCTAAACCCTTGCCTTGACCTTCAACTAAAATGTCCATTTTAGTCTTTACATGTTCTAGATGCGACAAAAGGTACACGAAATCAAGGTCACTTACTACGAAAAACAATTACAAAAATTATTGAAAAACGGAGTACCACAAACCATATACTTACGGAAAATAGCGCATTAAAATCAAATCCTCTTAATGTAAGTTACAAAATAAACGAATTTTTATTGCACTTATAACAAAAATGTAAACAAAAAGATCAGGTATTTAAATAATTTTTCTGTAAAATAAATAAGAAATGACAATGTTGCTAATGCCTATTCTAAAGGCACTAGTTCGGAAAAGGTTAAAGAACCTCAAGAGAATGGAAAGTCAGCCTGTAAAGATAATTTGAAAAGAAAAAAAGATGAAGATGATAAGCCGAATTATGAAGGATTGTCATTATTATTTGATGAATCAAACGAAGATGCCCTTGTGGAATGTATTGATGAAAAAGTACTTGAGCAAGAGAATATATTGCCACAAGTTAGTGGTAATAGCGTCTTAAAGGTAAAATTTAATGTTTAACAGTTGGAAATGTATATTTTCAATAGGCTCATTATGTTACCTTCAATAGGATCAACGAAAAAAATATTGATGCAGGCATTGTTGAATCTTTTTATAAAATATCAAAAGACAATTCCAAAAACTCGTAGAGTTTTCACGTATGTTTTATGTCGTTTATTATTTTCTTAATAATGGTGTGATTACTGATACGTTTTATCATTTCCATTCAATAGTCCCGCATATTGGGGAATTCTAGACTTAACCAGAGAAAGGTTATATAATTGTAAAAATCTCACGAAGGAGGTTATACTACAACTTTTACAAGAATTTGCTGAAAAAATTTTCTGGAAAACAATACCACCAGAAAAGAATGTATGAGAATACTTTGATGCTAATTGTGCAAAAGACGCAGATGATAATCATGACATTGAAAAACTAAATGCAAATATCCAGTTTATGTATGTATATGTTTTTTGATTATATTTTTTAGCTGGTTATAATACTCTGATTCTAAATCTCTGTACAGGAAAAGTGGTGCATCTAGTTTTCAAGAAATGATGATGGATGAAGAATTAAAAATGAGTTTGACATTTCCTCTATTTCATAAAATAATAAAATTAAAAATATTTGGTAGATCATTTATTTACATTTGTATTTGAGAGTAGATATTAAATATTCAGAATTATTCTATATATCCAGGAGAGAAGTCCAAGCTTTATCTATTTTTTGTATTTTTGATAAAGATTAAATCTCTTTTTTAGTAACATTATTAAGTCTTTTATAATCTATAAAGAATCTTAATTTTTTATTTTTCTTTTGTATTAGAACAGATAATACAGAGTGTAGCAACCTAGTGAAGTGGTCAGGTTGTCAACCCCCAAATGGTAGGTTGGGTGTTCAAATCCTATTAATGATAAAAATTTAGATAATCATCTATGTAATATTCGTATTATAATAACTGTTACTAATGATTGGATTGGTTATTTGTAATGGCAGTTACATTAGTATGACTGGCAGATTATAGAGTATTTGTATAACTTGTTATATAAAGAAATACAAATTAATAAATTAGACAATACAAACATTAGATAAGTTCTTGTAGTTGTATAAATTTATTGAAATTGAATAACAAGAAGTTTATTTAAGAAGACTTGAATAGAGAAGAGGTTAGATTTTTAATATCAAGATCATAATATCTAGTCATAGTAGTTGAATAAATAAGAATCTCTAAGTTGAAAGTCTTAGAAATATCATCAACCAGATTGTTAAAACAAATTAGAAAAAAAGAATATTAGATTAACCTAATATACCAATAAACTGGTCATAGTTCTATATAGACTATCTGAATTAGAAGTTTGGTAAAAGGGCAGATAAAAAGATAGAAGTATATTAAAGTACTGAAGTTATGCTATAAAGTTGATATTAAAATTTACTGTATATAAACTCTACAAGAGTATAGTAATTAAATAATATAACTCTAATTACAAATATTAGTTTTGATATAATGTTATTTAGATCAGTTATAAAAATGAATACAGAAGACTCTAAGAGGTTTATCTTAAAGATCAATTAGTTCTAAGATTGAGACAATAATCTGAACATTTTGGTATAACCTAGTGAGTTAATACAAATTATAGATACAGAGAATTCAAAATAAAATATTCAAGTAGAAATATTAGATATAGCAATTGGTAAAGAACCTTTAGGCAGACTTTTTAAATATGTGATATAAAAAAATTATATATATAGCCAATTGTATTCTTTTTTGTAATAATTTATAAGATTATATTATCAAAAAAGTTAATAAAAGTTAAAAAACCAAAGAGATTACCTTAATACTAAAAAAATAACAGTTATTGTTCAAGATACTTCTATATAAACTATTTAAATTAGAAGTCTGAAAAACAGGCAAAAATATAATAAAGTATCAAGAATATGCTATAAAATAAATGCTAAGATTTGAGTAAACTTTATAAAAACATAGTAGTTAAAATAAAACTTTAATTGCAAGTATTGGTTCTATTATAGAAATATTAGATTAGTTATAAAAATGAATACAAAAGGTTTTAAGAGGTTTATCTTAAGAATAAAATAGTTTTAAAATTAAGATAATAACCAGAATATAATTTAATAATATTAATACAAATTGTAGATTCAAAAGATTTAAAATAAAACACTTAAGCAAAAATATTAGATATAGTAATTAATAAGAAACTTTTAATCAAATTTCTTAAATAGATAATATAAAAAAGTTATATATAAATCCAATTGTATACTTTTTTTATAGTAATTTATAGAATCATATTACCAAAAAATTTATTAATAAAAGTTAAAAGATCAAAGAGATTATCTTAATAAAAAAAAAATAAAAAATAAAACTTAATATAAAAAAAATACTATATATTAAGTTTATATATAAATTTAAAATAGTACATTTTGGGATGTAGTGACTTAATAAAATAAATAGATTGTTAACACTTAAGTGGCAGGTCTAGAGTTCAAATCCTAGTAACAATAAAAATTTGTAATTCTTTTTATATTATGGTTAACTGTCTTTTGTGATTAGTTGGAATAAGACATCTGTAATCTGTACTATACCAGCATGACTAGAAGGTTTAAGCATGTGTACAATATTGTATGAAGGAATACAAACTGGTACTGGGCAGTGTGAATCCAAAATAAGTCCTTAGATCTTGTAAATCACAAGAACCAGATAGAAAGACAAAAGTCTACATAGAAGACCTGAGTAAAGATGTAACCTAAATCTTTAATAATATTACTATAAAAACTAGACTTATAAAATAGAGCTAAAACTTATAAAACTAGGCAAAGAGCCAGTCTTTGAGAAAAACTGAATAGAACCAACCAGGTTACCAGAATCTGTTCTAAAAGAAAAAGTTATATGCTAGCAAATATATAAACCAAAGGTGTATAAGTATAACTTGCCTTTCTAGGCTATCTGGTTTGGAAGCTTAATAGAACTTGAATTGAATACCAAAATAATAGAGATATATTGTGAAGTCAGTATCAAGATTGAAGTGAACTCTACAAGAGCATAGTGATTTAATAATATGCCCTGACTGCCAGTGTTGGTTTTGGCTATAGTAATACTAGGTCAGCTGTAAAAATGGAATACAGAAGATTCTGGAAGTTTTAGTACAAGGTCAAAGGTTTTTTATATAAGTGAACTGCTTTAAAGACTTAGTGATTATGGCATATTTTTATCAATATTAGCCAGAGTTATTGGTAGGCAAAGGTAGATAAGTGGATATGAAAACTAGAGTAGTTAAATAGAGGACCTACAGGCAGGTTTCAGATATAGCAACTAGTATAGAACCTTTAGGCAGACTACTTAAATTAGACAATGACTAAAGTTATACAAGTAGCTAGTTGTACACTCTTTTCATAATTACTCTCTGTGGTTATAATGCAACTATTAGCCAAATATATTATCAATAAAATTCTAGGTCACAAGTACTTACCTTAATATTTAAAAAAAAAATAGTATATTCTATTCTTAAGCTTAATAAGATTAACAACTTAGTGAAATGAATAAGTTGTCAACTTTTCAAGTAATAGGTTATATATTTAAGAATAGAAATGATATAGATTATTTGTTATATGATTTTTTTAGCAAATAAAATTTTTTTGTAAATATTAATAATGAGACTATATCTTTAATTTTATTAAAATTTAATTAAAACTTTTATAAAGAAAAGCTTGCTTTTAAATTACATATGAAGAATAAAGACTTAGATATATAATTTGCAACCTAAACCTACAAGAATGGCCAAGTCTTACCTAGATTTGGATATAAGTAATAATATAAGAGAGAGGAATATAATATTTAATTTATTGAATAGTTTTTTAAAGGTCAATTTTAATAATAATTTGTAATATTGAAATAAAAGGTAAAAGTAAACTAAAAGAAAAATTATGAGTTAAATTTGTAGTAAGTATAGTTTAAGGCTGTGTAGAATATGAAATACAATATGAAATTTATATTTGTTTATATATGTTTTGGTTTAAATAAAGAAGAAATTTAATAGAAAAAAATAGTTGTATAATAAGAAATAGAAGTATTATGAATGATAGAAATAAAGTTAATAGGAACTAAACCAGATAGGATAAAATAAGAGATGGCATGTATAAAGAGTTATGCAATTTGAAGCTATTAAGTGTAAGAATTTCTTGATATAAATTAGAAACAAAGTTGGTGAACATATCAAGAGCAGTAACATTTAAGATGCAATTAAGAGAATTAAAAATTAAATAATAAATTGTTTGAGTAGAAGAACAAAAAGTTCAGTGTAATAAAGAGCTAGTTTGATTACATTAATAACAAAGAAAAGAATAAGAGAAGTTATATTTGTGAACAATTGAGAAACAGGTAGTTTTTTCAAGAGAATTTTAATATAAAAAGTTTTTAGAACAGAGAATTGAAAACTATAAGCAAAGTTAGAAACCTTTTAATTATTATCAATATAAATCCAAATGGCTTTTCAGTTAATATTAGAAGCAATAGCAGACCATTGTTGAAAACAATATTGAAATGTTCAAAATGTTATAATATGAGCTTGACAGATAGTACAAATAAAGAGTCAAATAAGAATTTTAATAGAAAATTAGTCAATAAATAGAGTATAAGCAGAGTTGTAAGAGTTGTTAGTTAAGAATATTAAAAAGAGTAGTATTTAATAACTATAAGCAAGTTGGTCAACAAGATTATTAAATAGGTTATCTTGGTATGCAGTAACTTTGTAAAAAGTAAGCTGAATGTTGTATAAATTAATGAAGTTAATAAGAGTTTAGCAAATAGAGAAATATAAAATATGAGTATAAGAAAGTTTAGATACTGATAAGCAGATACTGTAATATTTAAAGATTATAGATTGAGTCAATAAAGATATTGTTATCCTATATCTACTTCTTTTAAGATAGTAGGTAACTAGAGCGACCTTAGACAGTGAACACTTTTTGTA